AGACAACGCAAGCATCGATTGCCGAAAACCGCCATACGACGGATGTCTTCTACTCGCAAATTCAACGTCTCAACCGAAAAGTCCAACTGATCGTACAGTGACGCAGATACGTGTCTTTTCAACTTCTTTCACAGCTTTCACTTCGTCGCGAAAGTTGTATTTATGTACGTGTGTTATTGTTTGTCGTATTCATGTATGGTATTTCCTTTAATAAAACTGCGAGTTATTTCAAGTCTATCTGTCAGTCATGTATTAAACCGGGACTTACCACTAGTCGTGTTGTGAATCTATGGGTACAAATGTATTAGGTGTCAATCTGACAACACCGATCAAGGCCAGAGATAACTTGTTGAGTAAGATTCAGACGGTCCGTGTTTGGATTAGCTCAGTTGGTTTCCGACACGGGCATCAGGCACTGTTGATGATCTTGGGTCCGGTTTCACTCGCTGGGAGATCGTTAATTCCCCACGAGTCGAATTCATTTACATGCAATGGAAATGTTGGGTAAGATGTTCACATTTGGATTAACTACCAGTAAAATCCGAAACAAAAACCGGTAGAAGAAACCACGTCCTCGAAGGTAGCTTAGTTAGTTAGAAGGCAATTACTCCCTCTTAGGGTACTGGGGGACAGCGGTGGTAGTAGGGAATGACAACGGCTTCCGTAAATTTTCGGTGCACGACACGGAGCTGCTATCAAATGTTTCTCTTTGACAACGATTTAGGGGTCCACAAAGATGCCATCAAGGTAGACACCAAGTCATATAAGGAAATTTACACGATTTCAGTATTTCAGAAATATCATGCAATTGAAACCACTGGTACCAATGCTTAAAGATCGATCTTTAATTTTCCGGAGAAAAAAATAACATCTGGAGCAGGCGTGTGAAGGTAATGTAAACGTTGACATGTGTGGTATGGTAAAACATGGTACCAGTTTCAGTTTAAACAACCATTAAGCATGCACTTCGTGCTTTGCTTTTCGTTGCTGTCTTTTGTCTGCCCATTTGGATGAACATTAGGAGGAAAACGGAAAGGTAGTAGGATCGAGGAGAAAATTGAAAAGTTCAGTAGACTAATGATGCAAAGAAATTGAGAAGATGCAATAACGCCACTGTTTACGACGTCCAGCCATATCACTCAATGTCTAACCATCGGTTCCGATCATCCTGAGGTCCCCAGTTAGGCAGCTTAACGGGACCTATGTGACCCAGACTCCTGGTTAGGGCTTTCCTACCCTCATTCCAGGCCTTAGCTTGATCACCCTTGGCTTTAATCCACCCACTACCTGCCTCGGCAAACATCGCTTGCCGTGGCAACCTATCAGGTATTATGGTACCAAGAGGGAATCTAATTCTTGTGGTTTCGTCTGTCACATCTTGGAAAGCGTCATTTCACGGAATCAATCCGCAGCTTATTCTCAAGCTATTCGTAGAACACTCACGGTAGGCCGCCAAAGGAAACTGACGTGAAAAATGACCAATACCTCTCTAGAACGATGCTGTTGTGGCCTTGATTAGTTGTGATTTCTTCTACTTCGAAAACGATTGCAATGGTTTATCTGTTTTGCTTCATTCATCCGGAGGATTTGTCAGGTTGGCAGTTAAAATCGTGGCTGAACACCGTCATAAAAGGTAGATTAAGCTCCGTCTGGAACGAAAACTGTATCTCCATGTGCGCTGATCTTCCGATCGCCATTCATTCGCAGCTACTATCGAAAGTACCAATGAAGCCAGCTCATCTCGCAGAGGGAGCGAACCGCACAAACGAGAAATGATCTGGCGCTATTCGAGAATCAAAAGGTGTTTATTGGTCCATAAAAAATCGGCGCCAGTACCATCGCCATGCAACACTGCTCATGTTCTCCATTTGAAGTACATATTGAACTCACTAACCACCAGTACTTTGTTGCTATTTTATTATAATTTGTGTATATTTTTGTAATTGCAGAGGATAATGATGTCTGGGAATCCTGTTCAGGAGACGAAGACAGTGGCGAGGAGGAAGATTGGGATGACGAGAAAATAGAGGAAGAAGACCAACGAAGTGACAAAGACGATAAATCGATGACTAATTCTCGTCAAACGGATGTAAAGCAGTCAAAGATTTCAACTGATTTAGATGACGATGGGTGGATTGATGTGCCACACTCGTCGGACGACGAACAACTAGTAGAGAAGGAGAAGAAAGTAGATCCTGTGGAGCTGAAGTTGAAGGCACGTGAAATCGCGTCATCCCGAGTCTTCACACAGGAAGAGTTTGAAGCTATGAGAAGATATCAGCAAGTTAAAAAGGCATGTTTCTTTTTGTTGCAGCTGCAGTGTCTGAGCCGTGAATAACAGCAGATAATTGACGTTGTACATAGAGCTGTAGGGGAAAAGAGGACATGGGTACAGTACTCAAGATTTCCAAAGCACCAAAGTAAACTATGGGTCAGGGACGAGGGACTGTCTTAGGTATGTATATTTTTTCATACACGTCTGAATACAGACTGTGCCAAATAAATTATGATACAATAGTCTGCCGTGTCTGTTACAGGCTGGAGAAAGCCACGTGGAGGTCAGCAGGTGACGTCGAGACGAGGCATGCATAGCAAAGGCACAGAGCGATTAGGTAGAGTAGATGTCTCTCGTATTTCGGGTTGGAGTCCAACAGATTCCGAAACCGCATGGTTAGAGACACTGAAGGTCATAGCTGCGAACAGACAGCAATGACGATCTTACTGTCACTTCTTATCAGATCAGAATGCTTGAAATAGTATGTATGTACAGTTGAACTGTGTACTCTGTGTTGACAATAGAGGTTTGCCTTCTTTTCCCGTCCCTGATAATAGGTCCAATCCCTGTCCTCCTTACACGTTCTCACTCACCTTGTATGCAATGAGTTTGGCAGCGATGAATGAAGTTCGCCTCATTGTATTACGCTGTACAATGATGATGCTAATGCTGAATCTNTTCGGCTATCCAAAGTCTGACCCGCAAGAATTGAGAGCCACAAAAGATGCGATCGGTGTATTAGCTGAAGGGACAGTGTTTCATGCGCAAAGGTGTAGGTTGTGTTAGTGGCTAAAGAGATTCACCTGTAGAATCATCGTACATCGGGAAATGCTTTCGCTTTCAGGGCATGAATGGTGTACTTAATTAAAGAGAATTTTTTAAATTAAACATTCGTGTGGTGAATAGCAGACGGGACGAACTCCGTAGTCAAGAAGACCTGCTGGTCCATCATGGAAACCAGTAATCTGAGCCCCGGGACTTGAAGTAGCGAACCACATAGAGCTCCGATAGGTTAGCGTTGAAGTACAACGAAAGTCAGTCGGTGACATTTTGATGATCCGTTTTAAATACCGGAAATTTGTCGACCAATCAATGAAATATTTACCACTAGGAGGAGGTGAAACAATATGTTTTCTAAATACAGTGACGTGTAATGTGATATAAGAATTTTTTCAAACTGCGGATGCATTTGTCGCGCAGAATTGTTGTTCCATAATTAAATGTACTACCGAAGACTCGTGAATTCTTTAGTTTACTGCTTCTAATCTCTATTTGCTCAGTTCATGTTGCTTCTGTCCGAAGAGAAAATAATTATGATAGGGAATTCGTTTTTATTAAATCCGTTTTTTATCTTTGGTCTTTAGAAGCGCTTCGCTGCTGCCGGGTCACACAAGCGTCGGACAGATGACTCGGAATCATTTTTCTTTGTCGATTCGGACGAAAATGATGAGAATCAAGGAACAGCAGGTGCCGAACTAGTCAGCATGAGTGCCATCATGCGTTTGGTCAAAAGGCCAAAACAATCCAAAGCAGAACGGTTAGAAGCAATACATGACGGACGGGATGGTCGTGAAAAATACGGGTACAAAGTGAGTTGAATGTGAACAAAACAGCACCGTTCACAAACCAATCAGTTCCTGCAAGAATTTTCATGTTGGTGGCTCTCGGATCGTGAATGTGCACAGAGATGTATATGTGCCATCATAATTATTCGGCTTTTATACTGTAAATTAGTTTTTTCGTAAATCCAGTTCCCTTAAGTAATCTCGTTAAACGGCCTTACTTTTGTCCTTTCATCAAAATTCGACAGATCCCGACTAGTATGCTAACACTTTTTTGTACGCTTTTTAACAACGCTCATGCCGCCTTTATTTTCGCGTTAAAAATCACCCTGCACTCGGCTGATGGTAGTTGAACCTCAAGTAATTGTTGTTTAGCTACTCCATATGAACCATAGTGTTTTGTTTGATCATGCCCACTGGCCTCTACATCCGATCCAGCACAGGATGGGAATTCCGGACCAGTCACAGGCACCATCTCCTCCTACCAAAAACAGTTTTAACCGCACGAGGATTCGCGTTCCATATTTAACATCCTGGATTTAGAATCCTTTGAACCAAAATAATATCGATACCCTGATAGGTCCATGGGTTATTGCACATCGGCGTTCAAACGACTGCAGTATTTTGTTTTGCGAGACCAGAATGAGAACCAGATTGATTTTATACTTAATCGAGTTTTGATCTACCATATTTTACTCCTTCGCCTAATTCCAGAACACAGACATTCCTTCATTTCTGCGCAGATCACCAGTCCTTTCTATCCAGTACCAACTTCCGACAGCTCTCGACGGACGGCAACTCCAGTTCAACTGGTACGCTAAATGAGCAGTGGGATCAGATTAGGCGAGCAATGCATTCCGCAGCGAATGTTGCTTGTGGGAACTGTGGCTCACACAGTTCCGTCGGGGGCATTGTATGTCTCATGAACCAGTAGTCCTGATGGAAATAAAACGTCATCTCCCGACCTACTAGGATGAGAACAGGGTTAAGTGGCGTCTGCAACTTCAGCTACCAATGAATATCGAGAGGGACCGTGAGAACTGGTGGGCAACACTAGCTAGTGAAACGGAAGTATCAGCGGTATCAGGGAATAGTCAAAGACCGTTCCGACTGATGCGCAACTCAGGAGGTCAGTGAACCACAGTTAGTGAAACAATCTGGGATGAAGGTGGACAAGCTCTTTACAATAGGGAATCGGTCGGAGGAGTACTTCAAGGAAAGGCTCAGCTGACCATGCACTAACTAAGCGATCTCGTCTGTTGTAGCTGAGGCTCCGTGGGCAGTGTCATGTGAAAGTTCTATTGAAGCAGAAGTACGATCTTGCATCCAAATCCTGAAGAAAGGAAAAGCAGCCGGACCGAACGAGCATCCTCCCACTCTGTTCAAAGTGGCGGGGGGGGGCGATGAACTCGTGGATTCCATTACTGATTTCATGAGTAACATGTGGTCGAAAGAGTGTATTCTGTCATCCTGGAGCCAATCACTGATCGTTTAAACTTTTGAGAAGGGCTCTCGCAACAACTGCGCAAACCACCATCGAATAAATTTGATTCCAATCGTCACCAAGTTATTAGCCTCCGCCATACTTCGACACCGTTTATAGAGACAAATGTCCGCGAACAACAAGCTGGAATTCGACCAGGTCGTGGTTGTATCAATCAAATCTTCACTGCTTCAAGTCCTCGAGCTACGCTATACACACCATCGACCAACGGTTGTCGCGTTCCTTAACCTAAAATGAGCTTTCGACTCAGTTGACCACGAACCTCTGATGGGATAATGCAGGACTGGTGGTCACGTAGTCCCGCTCTGAAACTAGATGGTCAGGAATTAGCTGAAGTTGATTGCTGCTCGTACTTCGGCAGCCGCGTGGCCATCGACTGTAGCGCATCGAAAGGTTCGAGCAACATACGCAGGTCAAAAGCACCTGTACCAGCGGTGTAACGTTTCACTGAAGTTGAATGGTCGTGTATATTATGCGACCGTTCGTTCGGTTCTGCTTTTCGGTTGTGAGACCTTGAACTTGTGAGCAGATATATATCGACCAGAAGTTTCTGATTATCAGTGTTTAGCCCACATGAGATAGAACGAACGGGTTAGTAATCTGGAGGTTAGCCGTGGCGTGCTTCGGAATTTATCTGGAATTAGCTTACTAACTCATCGAATCCATATAACTAGGCTTCGATGGCTAGAGTACGTATTCCGTATGTCCAGCTGTCGTCTGCCGCACCGCACTTTACTCCCTGATGATGATGATGATGATGATAATGATAATGAAAGAATGGTATATTGGACAAATTTGCTTCAATATTACCACTACTATACCAATACAAGATACCATCTTTGATCTCACGATTCTTCCGCACAAGTTCATCACGGAATACGTGTATAGTTTCCACCCTTTTATTTTTATATTTATATTTCACACTTGTCTGATGCCAGACTGTTTGCCAAGAAAATCATGATACAATAATCTTTATAAACAGAAAATAGTTTCATGATCTGCATGTGGGCGGAATACTGCCAGGTGGCCCAGGCCAAGGCAGGTGAATTTTCTTGAAGAATCCACAACCGGAGCCTTTTGCTAGCCAAAGCTTGGCCCGGTGGTGTGCGAAAACCGCCATCCATTGGGTGCCGGTGTCCAGTTCATCGGATCATACGCCCTTTGGACGGGGTCAAACGTCCAAGGTATCCAATACCCCTTGATGCCCAATTGAGCCGGTGACTACTGCTACAACCGGGAAGGTCTGTGGTGTTCGTACGCCTCCTCTTAGTTGGTTTCGAATCAGGCTTTTTAGCCCACTCCCCTAGGTGAACTACCAGTGGTCCACCAACCCGGTTATGGCCCCGGATGTCGGCTTTTGGTCCTCTCACTTTGGTGGAAAACACCTCTGCCACGAGAAGATAATGAGTAATGCTTCCTCGGCAGAGGCTATTTGAGACGCTTGATCGTATGGGAGCATTTCGAGAGGTGCGAGGTAAGGGTGATCAGCCGCAACCCCAGACACCCACCCCGCACCATACTGAAGCTTCAAGAAAGTATTGAATGGATAACTGGAGAGAAGTGGTGGCCCGAGTTCACTACAGAAAGTGTTCGTCAGGGTTGACCTTTCTCCGTAACTATTCACCTGTCACAGGTTTAATTCTTGAAACAGTCCTATCCTCGTGCAACGATAGCGGTATCGATCTACTCCCAGGTGGCAGACAGTCTGACCTGGAGTATGCGGATGACATTGTGCTACGAAGTGAAGATACAGGTAAGTTGGAAGCCTTTCTGGATAGCTTCAGAGGTAGTGTAGCCATGTTCGGTAGGCGTTTTGGCCATTCAATGTGTAAAACACTGCTACAAGACTGGGTTGGTCCAGCGCTCAACCTCACCCTAAATGGGGACGTAGTAAAAGAAGTAGACAATTTTTGCTATCTCGAGAGCTACATCTCACCCGGCGAACTCATTACAGATGAAGTGTCGGCGTGCATACAAAAGGCTCGATTGGCATTTGCCAACTTGAGACATCTTTTCCATCTAATTAGGAATACGGGCCCTAGGAAAATAGGCGTGAGGTAATTAGGGAATCCGATGGCACACTGATTCACGATCAGCAACGCCGTCTTGACCGTTGGGCCGAACATTTCAAAACGTAGTTCAACTGGCCCCCATCGACATCTGAACTGCCACCGTCCACCCCGACTGGGCAAATACTCCCAGTTGATGCCAGTCCTCCATTTGAAATGGAGGTTTCCCGGGAAAGTTATTTCAAAAGGTATAAAGCCTCCAGTCCAGACTGTCCCCATCAGCTTTTAAGGGTAGAGGTTCAGCCTTAGTTTCGGAGTTAACAAAACTCATGGGCTCAGTGTGGGAGAGAGAACAGGTTCTAACCGAATGGTGTGAATCGGTCGTCGTACCGGTTCATAAAGGTGACAGATCCTCTTGTGAAAACCACAGAGGAATTAGTTTAATCAACATCGTCTCTAAACTTCTCGCTGGGATCATACTCGGCTGTTTGTCTGCCGGTGAACGGTGCACGCCTGAGAACCAGGCTGGCTTTAGACCTGATCGAGGTTGTATCGACCACATCTTCACTCTTCGCCAAACTCTGGAACACCGACATTCCTTTCGTAGACCCACCATCTCTATTTTCCTGGATCTAAAAGCGGCTTTCGATTCAGTCGACCTCTCTAAACTGTGGCACTGCCTTTTCCTGAAGAGTGTGTCCGAGAAGTTTATTTCAATATTACAATCCCTTTATACTAACAGCCGAAGTCGAGTCCGAGATTACGGCACGTCTTCGCCCGAGTTCACCACCGAAAGTGGTGTTCGACAGGGTTGCCCTCTCTCCTTTTCTGTTTAATTTTGTTATAGATCTGAATATGGAAACAGCCCTATCCTCGTGCGACGATAGCGATATCGATTTACCCCTAGGTGGCAGACTGTCTCATCCAGAATATGCAGACGACACTGTGCAACTAAGTGAAAATCCAGGTAAGTTACAAGCTTTTCTGGATAGTTAGAGTGATACTGTAACCAGGCTCGATATGCGTTTTACACCTTCAAATTGTAAAATGTTACTTCCAGACTGGGTTGGTCCTACACCCAGCCTCATCCTAATTGGGGAAATAATAAAGCAGAGAAATTTTGCTATCTGGGTCGCTGTATCTAACCCGGTGGGCACATCACGAATGAAGTATCAGCTCGCATACAGAAGGCTCGACTGGCATTTGCCAACTTGATACATCTGTGGCACCGTCGCGACATCCGGTTGTCTGTGAAGGGTCGAGTGTACGCTGCAGCAGTTCGGCTAGTGCTGTTTTACGGTGCAGAGTCTTGACCATAACGGGAACAGGATAAAAATAGAATGTCTGTGTTCCAACAACGCTGTCTACGTCGCATTGCACGAGTCTGGTGGGGTAACCGAGCGAGCAATGCTGAGGTTAGGCGTAGAGTTTTAGGTAATCGCGGTCGTCCATTGAAGTAAGTCGTAAGCCTTTATAGACTACGCTAGTTGGGGCACATGTTACGCATGTCATCAAAAAGGTTG